AAAAAAAAAAAAAAAAAAAAAAAAGCTCGTCCCACTTGCACGAACGAATTAAGAGATACTGACCGTAGATAGCAAAGATCAACGGCCGAAAACTCCTACTTTGCGCAAGTGGGACCTTGGCCCGGGACAGAGAATCATAATAGATAACCCGTTCGGCTATTCATAGACGCGAAATAGCCGTTGCCAGTTCGGGGGAGGCGGTAGAAGGAAGGCGAGTAAGAACAGAAGTGGCGACACACTGACAGACTGACAGTAGTCAAGCAGCTGGAGCTGGAGCTGGAGCTGGAGCTGGAGCTGGAGCTGGAGCTGGAGCTGGAGCTGGGGCTGGAGCTGGAGAACGAGGAGAACATGGGGAGAACATGGGGGGAGAACATGGGGGGAGAACTTCGGGAGAACATGGGGATCCTTCATCAACAACGCTGCGGAAAAACTGATTCAGTTGCTATCAAATGAGATACCAAGGATTCGCACTCAATACACGATACCAAATGTCAGGAGAGTGAGAGAGATACTGAAGAGGGGAGGGAGGAGACAGCGATACCAAGGGAGAAATTGGAAGTGAGAGAGAGAGAGAGAGAGAGAGAGAGAGAGAGAGAGAGAGAGAGAGAGAGAGAGAGAGAGAGAGAGAGAGAGAGAGAAAACGCACATTCACATGGACAAAGCAACGACTCACAGACACAAACAATAAGAAAAGAACACTCGTTTGAGTCGCTTCTCCTCAAAGGCAAGCACACTCGCTACCGCATTGGGAGTCTGCTCAGTCTGGGAGAGGCACGCAAAATACGCCAAAGTGAACGGGTGAGTGTAAGAGAAGAGGCAGAAGGACCGAGCGGTCCGAGCCCCAACCACAAAACAACATGAGTGAGTGTGGTTGTGACTTGTCAGAGATAGGTCGAGAGAGAAGGACGGATGGGGATTCATTGGGGAAGCGAACACTAAGAATCAAATTTAAGTGCACTGCACAAGGCTGAACCAATATGTACACAACATCAAGAACGTCGTCCCAGCTTTCGAAAAAAGGTGATGTAGGCAAATAAGAATTTGAGAGAGGGACTGAACCTGGAATTGGAACCAATGAGAAAGTTGAGAAAGTTGAGAAAGTTGAGAAAGTTGAGAAAGTTGAGAAAATTGAGAAAGTTGAGAAAGTTGAGAAAGTTGATGAGCAACTGAACCAGAGCTCCCTCGTTGACTTGTTCACCTCTGCCGACGGAGATCTTGAAGTTCATCACTACCACCATAATTGCCAATCCCGCGACGGCGTGTTCGATCCTCCCCCCGGCCGTTCCGTCATACAACAGGAACTGTCAGAAAGAACCTATTAAGTTGAATAAATGTAATATTTCCTTTCGTCCACTAACTTTTCTACCCTCTACCTTCTCCCTCTTCCTTCGTTCCATACAGGCCCCTCT